CTTGGGAGGCTGAGGCAGGAGACTCGCTTGAGCCCAGGAGTTGGAGGTTGCTGTGAGCGTGATGCCATGGCACTCTACCCAGAGGAATAGCTTGAGGCTCCATCTCAAAAAAAAAAAAAGAAAGAAAGAAAGAAAGAAAAGCCTTTAGCTAGATGACAAAACTCACTGAACAGCAAAACATTCATGCTGGAGAGAAACCAGTGAATGCAGCAATACGTCATTAAATATTAGAAAATTTAGGGCGGCACCTGTGGCTCAAGGAGTAGGCGCTGGCCCCATATACCAGGTGCAGTGGGTTCAAGCCTGGCCCCACCCAAAAAAACTGAAAAAAAAAAATTTATACTGGAGAAAAAGCTTCTTTTTTTTGTTGTTTGTATGAAGGGTCTTTATTGGTGGGGGAGGGAGGCTGCAGAGCAGCACCAAGGAGGAGAGAAAAGAGGGGAGAGAGATAAGGAGAGAGTGAGGAAGAGAAGAAAGAGAGAGAGCAGAGGAGAAAGGCAGGGAGAGGGGGAGAGCGAGAAAGTTTCTTGAATGTACTGACTATGATAATGTTTTCTCTCAAATCTTATTCTTTACTTTGCATTTGAAGGCCATACACAGAGAAGCCTTATAAATGTAAGAAATGTGGAAATATCTTTATCCAAAAGTAAATTCTCATTCATCAAAAAGTTCATACTGGAGAGAAACCTTGTGAATGTGGGCAAGCTTCCATTCAGATGTCATAACTCAGTCAGTAGAGAATTTATAGTGGGGAAAACCCCTTTGCTTGCAAGGTATGTGGGAAAGTCTTCAGCCACAAATAAAATCTCACTGAGCATGAGCATTTTCATACTAGAGAGCATGAATGCAACGAATGTGGAAAAGTGTTTAGCCAAAAGCATTATGTCATTAAACATCAGAACACCCATAGTGGAGAGAAGCTTTTTGAATGTAATGAATGTGGAAAAGCCTTCAGCCAGAAGGAAGACCTCCTTACCCATCAGAAAATTCACACTGGGGAGAAACCTTTTGAGTGTAAAGATTGTGGGAAAGCTTTCATTCAGAAGTCAAATCTCATCTGACACCAGAGAACTCACGTGGGAGAGAAGCCCTTTGTGTGTAAAGAGTACAGAAAAACCTTTAGTGGCAAATCAAACCTTACTAAGCATGAGAAAATCCATACCAGGGAGAAACCCTTTAAATGTAGTGAATGTGGAACAGCTTTTGGCCAGAAGAAGTACCTCATAAAACATCAAAACAGGGTGCTGCCTGTGGTTCAAAGGAGTAGGGCGCCGGCCCCATATGCTGGAGGTGGCAGGTTCAGGCCCAGCCCCAGCCAAAAACTGCAAAAACAAACAAACAACAACAACAACAATAACAACAACAAAAACCCATCAAAACAGTCACACTAGAGAGAAACTTCATGAATGTAATGAATGCAGAAAAGCCTTTTCTCAAAGAACATCGCTTACTGTACATGTGAGAATTCATTCAGGAAATAAACCTTATGAATGAAATGTGTGTGGAAAGCCTTCTCTCAGGGTTCATCTCTTACTGTTCATGTGAGAAGCCATACAGGTGAGAAAGCCTATGGTTGCAATGAATGTGAGAAAGCTTTCTCTCAATTCTCAACTCTTGCTCTGCATTTGAGAATACACACAGGTAAGAATCCTTATCAATGTAGTGAATGTGGGAAAGCTTTTAGCTAGAAGTCACACCACATTAGACACCAGAAAATCCATACTCATTAAAAACCCCGTGAACACCTTGAAAATGGCAAAGTTTTCATCGGGAATTTACAATTCATAGTGAATCAGAAAGAATCACTCTGAAGTGAAAGCATTATGAATGAGGTAAACTAACAAATATTAAAAACTTTTTTTTTTTGAGACAGAGTCTTACTTTATCATCCTTGGTAGAGTGCTGTGGTGTCACAGCTCACAACAACCACCAGCTCTTGGGCTTAGGGGATTCTCTTGCCTCAGCCTTCCGAGTAGCTGGGACTACAGGCACCGGCTACAACGCCCAGCTATTTTTTGCAGTGTGGCCGGGCGGGTTTGAACCCACCACCCTCGATATATGGGCCCGGTGCCCTACTCACTGAGCCACAGGCACGGCCCCAAATATTAAAATTTTATGGGGCACGAGAGACTGCATACCAAAGAGAAAGACATTTATATGATAAAAAGCCTACAAAAAAACTATAGCAAAGGTAATACTGAAACTTTAGACACATTTCCACTGAAATGGAAACGAAACATAACCATTTTAGCCATTGCTGTCATCTTAGATCTGGAGCTCTTCACCAGTGTAATAAGAAAAATAAGTTGTAAGTATCGAAAAGAAAGACAGGCTCGGCGCCTATAGCTCAACCGGC